AATGTTTCATAAAAAGATCTCTTAGCAGAGTTCCAAACAAAACAGAGCACACTCTCTCCTCAATTTACATGGAGATTGTATTTCTGAAAAATTCACTATATTTTTAAAACTTTTTAAAAAAAGAGTTTGTGTTTATACATAAAACAGAATTAAGTTATTAATCTCCAATAATTATAAACAGGTTTTCTTCTACATATCCAATGGAGCCTTCAAGTCATGCAGAGTAGCAATTAACATCAATAGGACCCCAGGCACTATGGCAAACATAGTTTGCAAACAAACATAGCCAACCAATTTCTAAATCGCTCCCTATGATATATTACCCAACCTGGAGAAAAACGGACACACGGACAAGAAGAGATATGTACAAAATACACTCACTGCAACACTGTGATATTAAAACACAGGAAAACTCTGGCATTTAGAAGTTCCTGAACAGGGAGATAAAAAAGAAATCACTCATCTAAACACAGAGCATTACAGAGCAAACAAGGAAATGAGCTAGATCCACAAAACAAAACTGACCGATTTCAAAACAGTGATGTGCAAAAACAGGTTTAGGGAAGGATACACACAGTATGCTTTCATTTGTGTAAACTTTTAAACAATAGTATACATGGTACTTAAGCATACATAAACATGTAGCAAAAGTACAGAAACCTGCATGAAAAGAATACACTCCTCCTTCAGGATACTGATTACCTTAAATCTAGGAAGAAAGGTCAGGAAGAGGTACAAAGGGGCCTTAACTAGATTTTTTAATTTTATGTCTTTAAAACAAAAAATTGTCTTTAAAAGAAAACATTTTTATGTCTCTAAAACAAAAATCTATAGCAAACATGTAAAGTGTAATATCTGTTAAATTGGGGTGGAGGAAATCACAGTATTTGAGCGTTTTTCCTGTAAATCTGAAGTATTTTATAAAGCATTTTGTGAAGTCTATATATTCCAGGGAAATTTACCACCAACTGTAGCATAACAAACACCACCCCATAGAAAGGTGGATAAGAATCACATTCAGATGAGTACTGATTAAAAAAGACCCAGATATTTTTGTCCCTGTGCTATCAATAACTTGAGGAAGTGATGAGGTGAAGTGAATAAGGAGAAAAAAATTATACACATAAACTAACCCCAAACTGACACTACTCAGGTAAAGCAAACTGGCCAGTTTCACTGCTCAGGCTTCGAGCTTTACTGTTATATTTCCAATTCTTCCATCTTCTCAAATAATGTCATGAAAACTGAACTGGTGAATAATAAAAAGAGAGAGGGAAGCAATAAACTACTTTTTCATATCTCAGATGTTTCAAATATTAAATATGTAAGGGATGGGAAATACAATTCTTTTGCTGCTCTTTAAATACCAGCTATTTGGCACATCATATCCTTCTCCAAAGTCTCATTGAGAACTTTCTTCCTAGCAATAGATTTTCTTTCAAGTCACATGGCTCTGCTCAGCAACACAAAATGTTGAGATTACCACTAATAGAAGATTGTAGCAAAATAAACATGGAGGGGGACGAGGGGAGAGAAAAATAGAGCGCCATACTTTTGATAGGCAAGCAGAGATAAAACATCTAACTTCTAGTTTATCTGGAGAACAAATTAAATGTCACTACCAAAAATTCAAACAACACACCAGGAGATATTCTATATCTGAACCCCGTCTCTTCAAAAGGTAATGTATACAAAAAAGATTTTTGCATGAATGGATTTTTATAGTAGCTTTATCAATGGCAACCACAACCTGGTAACAATCCACGTAATCTCAATAAAAAGAATGGATAAACATGGTACCTGTATATAATAGAATTCTACTCCACAATCTAAAGGAACCACTGATAAACACAGCAACAAACAAGGATGAGTCTCAAATATATGCTGGCCAAAAGATGCCAACACAAAATATGACACACTACATGGCTCCATTTAATATGAAGTTCAAGTACTAGCAAACTACAGCAACAAATGAGAATAGTAGCTCCCTCTGCATGGGGTTTAAAGGGGCACAAGGGAACTTCCTGGGATAATTGATGTGTTCTGAATCTTCACCCGAGTAATGGTTGCATACATGTACAAATTTATCTAAATTCATTGAGGGGGGAAGAAATGTCATGGGAATGAAAAAGTGTAACTGCTCTATATTAAAATGGTCTAAAAAGACCTGAAAAGGGAATGCAACATATAAACTTTGATTGGATCTAGGTTTGAAAAACCGAACTACACAATTCATTTTTGAGAGAACTGGGAAATTTGAATATGGACTAGACATTAGGAAATTATCACTAAGTTCTGAGCTTAGTGGTTTTGTGGTTATGTAGAAATATGGCCTTTATTTTTAGAAGGTGTAAACTTAAGTATTAAGGAGTGAACTATCATGATATCAATAATTTACTTGAAATTTTTCAACAAAAAATATGTATTTTATATATAAACATATGCATATGTACAGGTAAATAAAATTAATTTTAGTATCCTTCCAACCACTCAGTGTGTTTGAAAATGTCAATAAAAAGTTGAGGGAAAAGAAAGAACCATTTTTTACAGATACAGAATGATCCTCTGGGTATATTAAATGAAAAAAAGCAAAGTGCAGAATGGCTTATATAATATACTATCAATTGTTCAAGAAGCAAAAGTAAAAAGAATATGGAGTTTATTGTACATGTATGTATACCTATTTGGTTATATTACAAAAGTAAATACTAGAAAAGTAAATAAAAAATGAATAAAAATAGTTACTAATAGCAGACAAGTATACATAGGAAATAGGTTTGAACAGGGCCAGAACTGAGACTTTTCTGAATATATCATTTTATATAGCTTTAACTTTTATGCCATATAAATGCAAAAAATTAAACTGAGTAAAATCTAAATTGAAAAGAAGATGTTAATATCTATGGTCACCCAATTCCGCTATTCAATCAAAGCCAAATTAACTAAACTTGTTAAACTTGTAGAGTTATTAATGGTCTTTTTTGCTACTTCTGACCATCAGAGCCATTTAACAGGGCTTGTGCTGGTCAGGAAATTTAATGTCCTGTTGCAGACATGCCCCTTAATAATTGTGCAACCCTAGAAAATAGTCTCAATGCCTCAATGATTTTCTCACCTGTAAAAACTAATAAATGCAATGACAGCTAAGATTTCTTAAAAATGTAAAATCCTGTGACTCAATCATTTGGTGAAAAGAAATGTAAACAGGAACGTTTCCACCTGCATAATTTCTAAAGCTTCCATGTAGAGCAAAACTCCATTTTACAGCCATTCACTTTCTGTAGTGCAGTTAATATTGAAATAAAATGTGTTTCTCAGACTCCTTTAGGCAGTCACCAGGTACAGTACAGCAGAGCACTTCCTCTTAGAAAGTCTGTGTGGGCAAAGGAAGGGAAGCAGTAGCGGCCTTTCAGGCGCCTGCACTCAACAGGCTGCAAAACCCCATTGGTTAGCTGGGACAAAGCAGCAGCCAGTAGCCAAGTTCGCTGATTTTTACTAACTGCCAAGAAGGAGCGGTTTAGGAACCTTCGTATATTCTTTTGCTGAACTAATCTTACTTTCCAAATAATTTGCCAACTGTGGAAAGAAAACATCTGAAGCTAGGGATATGGTTTCCAACAGTGCAGAGAGAAAAATCTCTGCTGGCTTAAAGACAAACTTGGATCTCCTCCACACTTGCTTCACACTCTGCCCTAGGCAGCCTTCCTTCTTTAAGACTTAACAAAAGACCTCAAATAGTCTCGTGACTTCCCTAGAGGTTTCCTGGACTGTGCTGCAGCGGGCTCATTCTAACGTGAGGAGGGACAACCAGGGAAGGGGGGGACGCTGCTGGGGTGGGGCTAAGTGGAAAGACAAGCCTTCCTGCAGGGTGTGCAGGAAGTGACACGCTGCTTGGTGCAGTACGCAGTGGAGTAATGTTGCAAATTTAAGTACCCTCGCCACCCCTAACCCCCGGGTTTGATGGGAGAGCAAAGACTGAATTGAAAGATAAGAAGGCTTAGAGAGGTGGGGGAAGAGAAAAGGGACTGAAGGAAACATTTTGGTTCCAAACTGCTTGCAGGTCTAAAATGGGGGTATGGGAAAAGCTCTTTGGAGGTTTCCTCAGGGAGAGAAGCTGGAGGCTCATCTGAAAAGGAGAATGAGGGGGTTCTCTAAAGAATTAAGGAGAAGGAAGTTTCCTCGTAGCATGGAGAAGTCCCAGTCCCCTCTGCCTGCGCTGGATTTGCACAGCAGGTTCATGGAAAGGAGCCTGTTCAGCAAGTCCTCCAGGAGTTCAGAGATTGAGCAGTTTCTCTCTAAAAGCTGATGCCTTTTTTAGGGTAACGGGAAGGATTAAGGGCACCTCTCATCGTCGGGGGCATTGGAGGATTGAAGGGGCCTGAAATTATTTCTGAGAGATTGGATCCAGGAAGGGAGAGGGTGATGCAAAGTGCTTTGTGGAATGAGGACACGCTTCAGTTGCTGGGTATGGGAGTTCGACTTTTTCCACTGAGAATAAAAGGTCACCAATTAGAAGGTTAGAAATTTTACAAAGTCTGTCTGCAGTGATTTGGGAAGAAATGCTCCCTATCCTACCCGCGCCCCGCCCGCCCCAGCTCTACAGAATGGAGCAAAGCGGGCCAATAATACTCTAAGAGGAACAGAAAAGAGGAACTTAAAGAGAAGCCCCCTCCCAAAATAACTCCCTGGAAAGTTAAGGGTGGGGAGAGGATCTCTGAAGCGGTTTGGAAATGATCAGAAGGAACCACAAGTGGTAGTTGGGATGAAGCCTGGAGAGCTGAGGGGGGGCTCAGGCCTCTTCCTAGCTGGAGTGGGAGGGACCTCAAGCGTTTGAGGCGGGGATGACCGAGGTGACAATGGGTCTAGGTTACCTAAGGATGATTAGGAGGGTGACGGATGTTTGGAAGCCTCTCTGAGTTAAACAGAAGAAGAGTCCCAAGTAAATTCCGGGGACTCACTGACACCAGGCAGCTGGGGCTGGGGGCCTGACCTGTACTCACAGAGCGGATCTCCAGCGCTAGGGCGCATTGCAGAGCCTTGACCTTCGGCATCCGCGCGGGGGTGTGGCGGCGGGGAGGGACCCCGGCCGTGGGCCCGAAAGAGGCGAGGAGACGCGCGGCGGAGCGGGGACGGGGAGAAGACGAGGTGGCGGCTGCGGTGGCAGCTGTGGCCCCCAGGCCGGGGCCCGCGGTCCAGCCTGGGTCCGGCCGGAGAAGCAGCAGTGCGCGGGGCGCGGACTCGTTGCCATGGCATCCAGGAGGGCGGGGCCGGAAAAGAGGTGGGGCGGGACGCACAGGAGGGGTGCTAGGGGCGGGATGAGGGCGGGGCTCGGCGAATGCCGAACGGGGCGGGGCTGCGTGAGGAGGCGGGGCCTCCAAAGGGGTGGGGTGAGGTCGGGGCAGTTCTGTGACATCAACCTATAGCCCTAAAGGCAGACAAAGGGGAGAATAACTGTTTGTGTAATGGAACAGTGCACAAGTAAAGAGCTGGACTCAGGAATCCTGAGCTCTAGCATGGCAATGATACATTAGGCTAGTAGCGTCCCTCTGCGACTTCAATTTCCCTAATTGTTAAAAGAGTAACAATTACTAATTCTCATTGGAATTTCACTTACACAGTTTACAATGACAGCAAGAGGAAACTGAGGATTAGAGGAGGCTTGCCCAAGTCAAAGGCATAATTATAGTTTCAGTTTTACCTTTCATATATTGGTGTGTAATCCGTAAAAACTCAATGTTTGTACATGATGTTAGATAGAAATCTAACGTGGGATTTGGGGGGAGAGAGGTTTGTTTTGGGGTTTTTTGGGGGGGGGGTTTGTTTTGTTTTTTTGCTCTAGAGAGTGAGCCAAATTTCCCAACAATATCTTTTAAACCTTCTATACTTCCCCTTATTGATTTATGGCATCACATGTATCATATAGTAACTAACTAAAGTTCTGTCTTCAAGCTCTCTATTCTCTTCCAGTATTGTATTTGTCATTCTTGCAACATTGACACACTGCTCTATTACTATAACTTCTTACTATCCTGTTTGGCAAGTCTCTTTTTAAAACGAGATTGATGTAGCTATTTATGATCCTTTATTGCTTCATTTTATTTTTAGAGTAACTTCATCAGTTTCCTCAAACAGTTCAAATGGAATTTTTATTACGATGCATTAAATTTATAGACTAATTCATAGCATTGACATCTTAGAAATATTACATCATCCTATCCAAGAAGGTAAAATGTTTGTCCATTTATTAGAGCATCTTCTATGCTCTTTACTGGAGGTTTCAAGTTTCCTGCCTAAAGATTCTGCTTAATTTCTAGGTATTTAATTGTAGTATTTTCTTTAATAGTTTCTTATTTTTTAGTATTTTTACTGGTTCATTATTGCAACTCTAGGAAAAACTATTTTTATAGTCTTAGCTGGCAAATAGAATTAAAACTAAAATCTGTTAAATTCTTAATGATTGGAATAGTTTCTCTGTTTGTCCCAGTGTTTCTGTTGATATTGTTCTCGTAGAGATGATAAGCACTGTGTTGAGTTTCCATTGCTGCCATTAAAAATTACCACAAACTTGGAGGCTTAAAACAACACAAATTTATTACCTTACAGTTCTGTAGGTCAGAAGTTCAACTCAGGTCTTGTTGGGCTAAAATCAAGGGATCAGCTGTGTTCCTTTCTGAGGACTCTGGGGGAGGGTCCGTTTCCTTGCCTTTTCCAGAGGCCACTAGCAGTCCTTGGCTCATGGTCCCCTTCCTCCACCTTCAAAGTCAACAGTGGCTTATCAAGTTCTCCTCACGCTGCATCACTCTGACCTACTCTCGTACCTCCCTCTTCCATTATTAAGGATGCTTGTGATTACACTGAGTCTACAAGGCAATCTCCTTTTCTGAAGCTCAGCTGATTAGCAACAGAAATTCCATCTGCAACCTTCGTTCTCTCTTTGACACATGAGAGAACATATTCACAGAACCAGAGATTAGGATATGAATATCTTTAGGGGTCATTATTCCACCTATCGCAGGCACCAATAAAAAATAATAATATGTTGCACGGAAACAAATCAAATATGTTCAAAATCCATAAGTTGTTAACTCAAGGGGCAATAAAGCATTAGTCAGCAGTGGATGATTTAAGAATCAACTTATTCTGAAAACTTATAAATGAAAAGAAAGAATCCAGAATTCACCCTGAACTTCTTGTTTGAGCTATACCTCAGGATAACCAAAGAGTTGATGAGTTTTCTTTGCAGAAAACTTTCAGGTATAAATGAACAGGAATGAAGAATTAGAATATATGTGGCTGCTAAAACCATTGGTGAAAAGCTGATGAGGAATTTTAATAACAGGTGGGTCAGCCTGATAAACACTCAAACACACTGATCAGTCTTATTATCACAAAAGGAGACAAAAAGATACTGTGTCCCTTCTGAGGCAATGCAGTTAGGAGTATACAACACCGCCTTTCGTGCCAAAAGTCAAAGTTAAATCTGGCCAAGAATCTAAATCTATCACCAATGTGCTGGAATACAATATTCAAATTAAACTAACCTGCTAAACAAAACTATGGTGATGCAAGCATCAAAAGAAAGACAGGGTGATTTTTTTCAACAAATAAATGCAAAGGAAAAACACAAGAAGGAAGACCCTATGTGATGCAGATACTGGCCCGAAGTGTCTGCATCATTATGGATGAAATGAGACATTCACACGGACTACCAAGTCCAGTGGAGGAAAAGGGACAGCATGGCTCTTCTCTCAAGGGGAGCAAAATTCGCGGCCCTTGCCGCTACCCGCCTTTATTGGGGTTCTCGGCACATTACATGATGGTCATCATTTATTACTCACAGGTTACTTTAGGTGGTTACCTTTTACAGAAAACAAAGGAGCCAATGTGGATAATCACATCACAGAAAAGGGATATTTGCAAATGAAATGCAAACATGGTTGAACTGGTTACACTCATCCTTGGAAGATTTAGCATGGATTTTAGGAAGTTACTCTGCAGTAAATGTTTGCCACTGGGGGCTGGGCCCACGCCACGCAGAATGGTCCCCTACACCTATGGATTAAAAAAAGCCTAAGCAGACATAACCAAATATAAAGTACTTGAGACCATAGGGGAAATTCCGATGCTGACTAGACATATGATGATCTTAAAGAACTTTCATTAAAATATTTTTAGAAATAATAATGATACTGGGGTCTTGTTCTTTAAAAATAGAGACCTTATAGCCCTGGCTGGTGTGGCTCAGTGGACTGAGTGCGGGCCTGTGAAGCAAAGGGTTGCCGGTCTGATTGCCAGTCAGGGCACATGCCTGGGTGGCAGGCCAGGTCCCTAGTACCCTTACTAGGGGGCAACCACACATTGATGTTTCTCTCCCACTCTTTCTCCTTCCCTTCCCCTCTCTCTAAAAATAAATCAAATATTTTAATTAAAAAATAGAGCCCTTATATTTTCAAAGGTCATACACACTGAAATGTTTGTAGAACTTATATGATGTCTTGGATTTGCTTCAGAAACTCCAGCGGAGGTGAGAGACGGAAGTGGTGGAAAGTGGGTGAGGCTGTGAATGAAACAAGTCAGCCATGTAATTCTTGAAGTCTGATGACAGGTAGGCTGGAGTTCATTACACTATCATTCCTACTTCTGTATATGTTTAGTTCCATATAAATTTATACAAAAATAATAGGTGTTAAATGGTGTCAAGTGCTTTTTCTGATTATGGAGAACATCATGCGAGCCATGTAAACTGTAGCCTATGTATGAAGCAAATGACACTGATACATCTGTCTGCTGTGCCGCCCCTGCAGTTCCATACCATTACTTTTGAATATGCTTTTGTATCATGTTAACCAATGTTTTATTTAGGTTTTCGCATCTATGTTCATAAGCTAATTGGACCTATAACTTTCTGTTCCTCATTGTCCTTTCCTAGTTTTGGAATCTGGATTACACCGTCCTCATGAAATGAGGGTATTGTATCAGACCATTTGCTTACTCCTGTCCACAGGTCTCCAATGTTCTTTGTCCCTTTGTCTTTGATCTTTTTTTCTCAGACTCTTTTGTTTGTATGTTTTCTATTGATCTGTCTTCAAGGCAATGAACTCTTTTTCTACCATTCCTGATCTGCTTTTAAGCTCATTCAGTGAATTTTTCATTTGAATTAATGTGTTAATCAGTTCCAAAATTTCTATTTGGAATTTTTTTTTTAGTTCCACATGTCTTCTGAGATTCCCTATTTGCTTACTCATTAGGACCAATTTTCCTTTACTCTTTGCATATATTTTTCTTTAATTCTTGAGCATTTTACAGTAGCTGCTTTGAAGTCTTTGTATCCTCTGTTCAACATTCATGCCTATCAAGTTATGTTTCTACTAACTTCGTGTTTTCGCCACTATGGGTCGCATTCCCTACTGCTTTGTATGTCTAGTCATTTTTTTATCGAATACTGGATGTTCTGAAGAACACATTTTAAGACACCAGATGCATAAACATGTGCAGACAATGATACATTTGTTAGTAAAGATATGTGTAAAAGCCTAGATGTTTTTAAAGCCCCTCTAACTTGATAGGACTCAGCCCCCAAACTCTGTCTCCCCTATAGGTTTTGTTGGGCTTGGTTATACATGTTGTTAAGGCAATTCTAGTGCAGGCCTTACTGTGGGACATAGTCCTTTCTGGTAACATACAGCCTTTCTAGCCTATCAGTTGGAATCCAGGAGTATTAACAAAGTGTTTTAAAAAATTGCTTCACAGTGGAACGTTCACAACTCTAACATTCCCTAGCAGTACTTGATCTCAAGAAACTCTGTTCTGCTCCCAGCTCTGTGGCATTTGTTAACTGGGAGGCTTCAGGTGATCTTACCCTGTGCTTATAAAGCTCATCCCTCAGCCTTGAACTTGTGGGGAAACTGCTCATAGGTTTTTAGGCTCTCTTGGCATAGCTCCTGTCTCATCAGGTTGGGTGGCCACTATAACAGAACAGCATAGAGTAGGTAGCATATAAACAACAGATATTTTTCTCACAGTTCTGCAGGCTAGAAGTCAAGATCAAGGTGCTAGCATATTGGGTTCTGGTGAGAGCCCTGTCCTGGGTTTCAAATGGCAGTTTTCTCTTTGTGTCTTTACATGGAGAAGTGGGCAAGGCAACTCTCTGGGGTCTACTTTGTAAAAGCACAATCCCATTTGTGAGAGCTCCACCCTAAGGACATGCTTACCTCTCAAAGGCCCCACTACAAATACCATCATGTGAGGGGTAG